GATATGCCTTTCTTATATGCATTCTATCAATTCAATTTGTATTATCATCTGCACAATTGCACAGGAGAAAGGAACCAAAAATAGTACCTTGAAGAACCCCTGTTTTTACAGCTTTCGATTCACTTTACTTAAGATAAACCTTTATGCTTTGGCTTTTTTCCCAGCAGGCGATCTTAGATAAAAAGCAAAGCACCTCTTGTTCAGTTAGAAACAAACAAACGCTTTGGGGAGGAGAGTGCTGTGTTCCATAACCTTCATGAAGTCCGCAAAGGAGTTGAGTTAGTGACCCCAGGTTGCCCTTGTCAATTTGAACCATAGCACGCAGACCTGTCAACCGAAAATTTTCAAAACCTGGAGATTTCAGATTTTTTTGTTGAGAAAAACAGGGAAATTTGCCCACAAAACAGGGAGATCCCTAGAATTTGTTGAATTTATAGACAACATACCTGTCAAAAATGTCATTTTTGACAAACATTTTATGACAAGAATTATCATGGGTAGCGTCTTCCCACTGGCTTTTAACGTTTTTGTTGATTTGAAAACACTGACAAAAAACTTTGTCGAGAAGAAAGTCATTTCAATCGTTTTTGCTATAAGAAAACCTTTGCTGTAGGACAAGGAAAAACAGGGAGAAAATCATAAAAAACCGGGAGACCGGGAGAAAGCAAGCAAAACCTGGAGTCTCCTGGCAAAACCGTGAGAGTTGACAGGTCTGGTCACGTCTCCATTAAAAGTTGTTACTGGAATTGAAATTCATTTTTGCTCTGCTTCGCGTCTTGTTTACATAACATTGGACCCAACAAAATGAGTCTACAAATAAACATATTTTTGTTGTTTAGTTTTTACTTTCTCTGCCTAAATACCAAAAAAATATGTCGGGTAAAATGTTTGATCGCTTGACCGTGACTTGGGAAGCTGTTTAGTGTCTTGGTGAAGGATCTTTCTCTAAACACTAAGCTCGTTGCATCGAAAGAAAATGATGCAGACAACCAATTCAGAGCTGTTACGCAAAATAGAATGCGCAGCGAAGTATTTCAGGTCGGTTTTCACTTCGCCACTAGCACGGCGTGACTTTAATTCCGGATCCGGTTTAATTCTGGTTTGGCTTTCAGTATTCATAAGTAAAAGAGCTAGAAGTTAACCCAAAACGGCGTCGTGTACGTCCGGCCCTGAAGGTAATGTGTCAAGCTAAAGCAAGCAACTCTGCGGGGGTTTTCAGAAACATGTGTTTTTTGATTTCAACTTCCCAGCCATTACGGTAGTTATGTTTGTCTACTCTGCTGCGAGGTAAGCTTTTCATGTGAGTAGTTTTGCAATACTGACCAATCGCAAACCAATATTTTGATGTTACTTGACAAGTTGGGTATACGCAACCCTTCTATATAGACTTATTACCTGTAAGTGTGAAACAAAAAGCTAGGTAGAAGGGTTGCATGGACAGGCTAACATCAGACGTTTGGCTACATTATAAAACGATAAAGCTGATGTATTCTTTAGATTATATATGAACATACTTAAATGAATTCGTAAATGATTCATGCGTGATATTATATATCTATCCAAATATGGAAATTGCTTTATTCGTTCTCTCACACATGTGATATTCATTCAATTAGAAATCGAGACACCAGAAATTGCACCATATATCTCACTCTCGTTAATACTACTTTTTGGGTGGTATTTCTCGGCCATATTAAATGGCAGATGCATCTAGTGAAATGGAATTGCCGGTACTTGAATAATGACTGTTCTTTGATTGTAACACCTCCGTAAAGGCACTATTCCTCAACTCATTTCCATGGCCATTCAATTTCCCATTGATTGGACTTTACAATAGATCTATCGTTAAGTGTCAAATCGGCAACGTAAATGTAATTCCCCAATCATATCACGCCACAGAGCCTATTGGTAACCCTAAACGGTGCACTGACAGAACGTTGTGCTTCTAGAACTGAGGTTGGATAGAGATAACAAGAAGATTCCAATTTTCTGCTCAGTTGTCGAAGGAAAGAAACCCGAAGGAAAGAAACCCAAAGGAAAGAGCAAGCGGTAACAAAATTTGTTATTATTAACAACTTTAAAGATGGATCAAAGAACAGCAAACGACTTAAAGAATCAGCAGCGAGTGTGACCATGCATGGATTCGGAAGATTATTTTCGACCAAATCAAAGGCAATGAGATGCATCTGGCTGTTGCTAATGCTTTTTTTGTATCGCTTGTAATTTTGACAGTGATGCCAACAGTACGGAGATACTTCAAAAGCCCGTCTTTAACAAAAGTAGAAACTGTTAGGGTATCTGAAATGAAAATGCCAGCCATAACAGTATGCGGGTCAAACATTAAGCAAATACCAGGTCAAACAGTTCGCTGAAAAATCTAATATTACCCTGGAAAAGGACAAGTACGGGCACATCAGCAACTTAGAGGAGATTTTATCAAAATATGATTCTCCTGCAGAACTTGCATTCGACACTAGCACCTTCATAATTAAACCGAAATCTGGCTTGGAAAGATTAGGTATCGAGTACCGTGGCTATTGCTACAAGATAAATTCAAATGGAACATTTATTCAACGAACAGCAGGCCCAGAAACCTCACTTGAAATTGTCTTGTTTCTTAATGTGTCAGATGGCATGTCTATTTCATCACGTCAACCTGGTGACTCCGTTGAGGTAATTATTCAAGACCACAAACAATTTCCATCTGTGGATTCTGGGACAGTTCTCGCCCCTGTTTGTCATTTGACACAAATAGAGGTTAAGAAAACAGAGATACGGAGGCTCAAAGCCCCGTACCCTTCAAAATGCACATGTGGCCAAAACATGAAGTTGCTGTTCAAAGGAGAATATACAATCAGTAACTGCATACTATCTTGCTTTCTTTCGAAGGTTGTTCACAAATGTAAGACAATATATCACTTTTATAATCTTCTTTTGCCGAAAAAAAGTGAAAACCACCTAGTAGAAGAGGGGATGATTTTCTTTGTCAGGGCAACATCCAAGAAACACTGAGAAGCGAGAATTATGCTTCTTGTGGATGCAGATTGCCATGCAATGAAATTAGGTTTCGTAAAAGTGCTTCATTTTCAGAATGGCCGTCAACACGAGATCTTGCAAGGCAAAGGGTCTCTCTTAGCTTGGACATGAGTTTAGATGAGAGTAACCTGACAGAAAAATTTGTTCGTGACAACTTTATTGTCATCAATGTTTTTTTCGGTGACATGGAATATTAGAAAATAACTGAAATTCAGATGTACACGCTTGATAAACTAATTGGAGAAATCGGAGGCCAAATGGGAATCTGGGTTGGTGCATCCATCTTTTCTTTGCCTGAGCTGCTTTATTTATTTGTGCAGTTCGTAAGATTCTCCTGGAGAAAGAAGAGAGCCACTAACCTTGAAAAAAGTGGTGTGGTAGAAGAACAGTGATTCTGTTCATTAAGTAACATGGAACATTGTAAAAAAGTAAAAGTTTTTCTTCAGCTTCTTGAGACTGAACAAACCTTTAAATTAAGGCATTTGTAGGCCAACTGGTCCTTTACCTGTGCCAAATGGCCTATCTGTAACATATTGATGCAAAAAAGCACTTATTGGTGCATTTTTGGTTGCATCGTTGTATTATATTATTGAAATAAGCTCCTAACATAAGCAGTTTTCGTAGCTGTTCTTAGTCATAGTCTAAATCTATTTTTATGCATCGTAGGGAAAGATGTCCGGCGTTGTTGAGTATGTTTTCGAAAATACTGCCAAGCGGGTGGAGTTCGAGGGGGGGGGTGGGGGTTGGGGGCTCAGCGGGCTTAAAAGTAGCCCTCGCCTACCTTTTCCTATTGTTTTTTTAAAAATGTTAACCATTTATACACATGCAATATATATGTAGGTTATAATTTTACCCTCTACCAACCTTAACAAGTAGCTTCAAATGTCAGGGGAATCACGCAAACATGCCTGGTAAAGTAGAATTGTGGAAGATTAGAAGAGAAAAGTTTTTCGTGTTTTTAAATCGTTGTTGAGAATCAGCTGATGTAAAGAAGCACTTGAAGAAATAACTTGGTCTCTGTCTTTTGTCTCTCTGTGGATCCCCATTTGAATCTATCTCCGATGCAATACTGTTTCTCTGGATTGTTTTATCTGACGATCGCTTTATTGTTTTGCTTTAATGCTTTAAAGGTGCGAGCATGGCTCAGTGATTAGGGACGTTGACTACAGACCCAAGGTCCGTGGTTCGAGTCTCTGACATGTCTACTTTTACCCCTAGAGTGAGGAGAGTCGCCAGCTCTCTGTAATTTCAGACGTAGGAATCACGGGGTGAGGTCACATCGAGAGGAAGGACCAGGACACTGCTTGTGCTTTCCTAAAACTACTTTAAGAAGCAAACAATACAATATGTTTTGCTAATGCATCATGATATTGGTATTGAT